GCCTATATGGGCAACTCTCCACCTATCAGGGGAATTGGGCCACGAACGTGTCCGTTCGCGCTGGAGACGCTGTAGTACATATGCCAGGCCTGTAAGTGGCGCTGTAGTCACAGAATCAGCCCTTGCAAAAACAGTGCTGTCATAGAGCAAATAGAGCGAAATGAGGCATGGCTAAAATGCATGATCTGTTTGGTATTTTGAAAAAAACACTTCACAGACATGTTTTATATAGGTATGGCCCTACAATATATTTTTCAAATATAGCATGATAGGTCCACTTTAAAGTAAAAAGAATACTTGTATCCAATCTCTTTCTCAAACACACACTGTTTTAGCGCCTGTCTCTATAAGAGCCCCTCCAGGAAAATCAGTCTGGTCTGATCAGTCTGCTCTGATTGGCTTGTGAGAAAAATAATGAAGGAAATTGGTGCACCTTTGTAGAGGTAGTTATCAAGCCATGTGTAGAGATACTCTGATATTCACGGATGTGACAGGAAGAGAAGCCACTGAATGGCTTGTTTTTTTAATAAGGCCACCAATACAAAAATTACTCTAATTTCTCAGTTGTGGTATGGTTAGCACTCCTGATACCTACCGTATGTATGGGCTCATGCACTGGATAGGGAGTTCCACGTAATATTTCCTCTTAAAATATTTTTTAAACATTGCTGTCTTAAAACAATACTCTATGAATTGTTTTCACGCCGTGAAAGTTGACGATCATGTGACATGAACACTGGCCATTGGAAATTAATATGGGAAAAAACATAGCCATCTCACAATTGAGATGGCTATATGGCAACACTGTATTAATGTCTAGATCCTACACAACCAATGAACGGAGATTCTGAAAGTAACATTTACATTTCTTGCTAAAAATGTAATAAAAAAAAAAAAGCACTTTAATGGCGAAACTATCCTGAAATGTCCCATTTTCCACAGAAATAGTGTCTGCCATGTTTTTTTGTATTTAAGCCGGGACATTTGACTATTACTTGAGTGGGCACTGGCCATTAGGAATGAAGAGGGGAAAAAAACGTATCCATGTCACCGTTTTTTGGAAACTACTAACTTTTGCCTGTGGATCAAAGTAGCTATTACACGTTTTTTTTGTGAGACTGGGTTGGTATGACAGTACCTCTGTATTCCCCCATTGCATTTCTATATGTTACCTGCATTATGCCAATTCAGTGAAGCGCAGGCTGTTCAAAGCTCTGTGTTGAATGCAGAGCACTGCAAATGTCATGCCAAGCTGTTCCACTTCTCAGCTCTAAAACACCATGAAGGCAGGAGGTCAGTTGACTCAGAGCAGAAAGACTGCAGATGGTATGTTCCTTGGCCAGAAATGGATATTAAACTGTGCTTAATGCCAGACACTGACACTGGTGCAGTAACACACACACACCAGCCCAGATCATGAAGATTATAACATGTTATGAGTCTTATACTGAAGGGCTTCTGGTGTATTAACCACGTTACACTAAACACTTCTCAGTACATTAAAGGTGGGTCATTATTGGATTAACCTAGAAAACCAATACATATATTTCTGAATGGAAGTTGTTATTATTTTGGACTTTCTGAGTTTCTTTTGATCCTAGCAGCAAAACAATGTTTCATCATGTCACTACACATTTTCACATTATGAGCCTCTACCAAACAGGTGAAGTATACGTTTACAGTAGAAGTACTCCAGTTCAATTTAGGAAATAATCGAAAACTTGGTATCAGATTGACATAAAAATCTGCAACTATATTACATTTCAAAAAATAAGATGAACAGTTTAAAAAGACCACATGCTGAAAGAGATTTTTTTGCACGTATCTTGTAAGAGCCTTTTATTAAATGTATTTCTAAACACACACCTGAGATGCTCAATCAGACTGATTTATAATATTCCGTTTTTTGAATATCACAACTCAAACGACCGTATACCAAACAGTAGAGAAGATCATTAAAGTCTATTAAACTGAGAGCCAATTGCATCTTTAATTTGAAAGTGATATAGAAGAAGCAAGTAAATGAGGCTGCCAATGAGTCTTGTTGATTGAACTTTTGCCAAATGCAATCCTCATCCTATTAGGCAGTTGTTATGCTATCACTTTCCCGAGGTGAGATTAAGCCTATCAGCACAAAGGGACTGAATGGGGAAAGGCCATCCTGTTTCACAGTGGGGAGCTCTGCTGCCAGATGTATTTGTCATGTCACATTGTGCGTTGCCAGGTATTTTCCGCCCATCTTTAACTTCCCCATTCCACCACTACCTAATCAGCTTTAATTGACTTTAATTAGCATCTAGTAATTAATTTTGTTTTCTGCAAATTATTTGTATGAACGGTCCCAGTGGGTGGCCTGTTCATCTCGTTAGGGCCAATTAGCTGCAATTAACAAACACTAATGACATGCTTTTTTCATTCCAAAACAAACAGCATGCACCCTGCCAGATTCCAGAGCTGCACAGAGACCTCTGGTGTGTTGGGGGGTGCAGGGGGCCAGCTCACTGGGCTACAGGCTTCTAATCAACACCTCTGATGGGGAAACACAAATCCAGGAGGAGACACTTATCCACAGGACTCACACTTAGGATACTGCGGAGATAATTACTTTCCCCTCTGCCTTATGTAACAGTGGGTGACAATGAAAAGACCAATCAGGTTTCAGATTTTATCCGAATTTGTGTAAGAAAGTATAATACTGGTGCCTGTTATCCATTTATCTGAAAGTTTACCAATACAATTGCATGTCAGGATATATTAAGGTTGGAAATGTCTTGAGACATTGTTGTTTGGAAATCTAGGGATTAACACACCTCCATTGTTTACGGTTTACATAAAGAGATTCATTTAACAGTGTTGGGTGTGAATAAAATAAGGATGTTTGTTGATTGTGAGTAGCGATGGACAAAAAAGAGCACATAATTTGTCACAGTTTTTTCTCTTATGCTTACAATCTACATTTATTATTATTAATGTTATGCATAAAGCTCAGTTTTGCAATGTTCTCCATCTGACAATGCATTGTTCTGAATGAAAAATTATTTTAAGATATAAGAAAATTATAATTTTTTCATGTTGGCATAAGTGACAGGCAAATGTTTGTATAGGAGGTTTTAATGAATAAAAAAAAAAAAAACTTCTTCCTCCTTCAATACTTTTTGTATTTACTGTGACAAATTGCTGGAGCTATATCCACAGTTCCAACAGAACCAAACACATAGAAATTATCTGGCAGAGGAATGTGTGTAAGTATGTACACTGCACATTTGCTTTATTCTAGGAATATGTTGTATAGCCTATAGGCTACTAAATTTTTGCACTCATGATGCCAACAACAAAAATATCTATGGTGTTGGTGGTCTAATTTATTTATTAGCCTGAAGAAAGATTGTACAAACTCTTTCTTCGCGTTGAATTTGATGGTGCCGGGTTGTTGTGAGATATCAGGGACTAACAGAGCTGGAGCCTGCATGGGGACGCGCGCTATCTCCCTCTCCAGCGCGCCAACATGCTGCGATAACATCAGGAAGGGACAGCCTATCGCCACAGATTATAACCATTAGTGATCCGTGTCCTTTCAAACGGGATGAAGACTAGTGCTGGGGCACAGCATTAATCCGTGAGAAAGGCTTGTGTTCGGGTTGTTCCTCTGTCCTCTCCCCAAACTGCGGGACAGGCCTGCTGATAATTCCTCCTGTGCCTCTGATGCAGTTTTATTCTCCCACACATAACCAGGGAATAATGTATTCCTATGATATCATCGATGACCCTCAGCTGGCTGTTGTTGAGAGGCAAAAACTGTCTGGGAAAAAAGAAAAAGAATGGTTCTGAGAATATGGAGGGTAAATATGTCCTTTTTTTAATTAATATTATTTATTTAGCTCCTCAGTGTCATCATCAATAACACATATTTGAATGAACTTCACTTGGCCCCTTTTTAATGTGTAATGATTTTTGAACTAAACTCTGCTCAAAACGTGAATTTCTTTATTTTAAGTTGTTGTTATTACATTCTACTCTTTAAACACCCTTTTCAAATGAACACATGTTTTATTATATTCTATTAAAAAAAAGGCTTAAAATGTAATTCCCCTGCTGAGTTTTCCACAATTTTTGCATGAACAGATTTTTATTCTATATATTTTTTTTTTAAAGGTTTAAAATGTTAGTCCTGTATGCTCAGTGTTCACCTTTTCAACACAAACTAATTTATTGTATTACAAATATATATAACATTTCAAATGTTTGCTCTCTACACGGTTTTACATATGGCACATATCTGACTGTTTTTATGTATTTTGATTTCATTCAAAAATATATCTGCATTCACGGTTTTCGCATTTTGGAATTCTTTTATTTCAACTTATTTTCTTTATTTTTTTATATTTTTCTTTCTATATTAAACATTTTATAACTGCATATGTTGATGTATTTTTTACATAATACTGAGTGCATGTGGTGGAGTGAATTGAGAGCGCCGCTCATAGGTTTCTCCGGCCGGTGACGTCACGGCTCTCTTAATAGGCAATAGGCTGAGCTTTAAGAGGTGCGCTCATTACGGTTTTCTCTCCGACTGAGAGCTCATCACAGGGAAATGGGACACAAATGACAAGGCTTAGCGCACTGATAGCATTTAATTGTTATTTCTCTCTACTTTAGACACCACTCAGGATATATCGCACACTGGGTATAGGCTGCTTTTCTCCCCGTAAATTCGCACACTTCGGATGATCTTGACGGGCCCGCGATGATCTCCAGTCTATCATTTTGTTTCTGAAATGCTGTTTTTTCCACCTTTAACCTGTCGTTTGGAGCCGCTCGCTACATGTGGATTGTTGGAACAGAAGAGCTGCATTTAATCTCGCGGATGGTGATGTAATTATTATTCCGATTTATTTTGGATACATTGGATTTCTGGGATCATCAAATCTAAGCAAGTCGGGGTACGTTGGAGAAAGAAGAGAGTATATATCTCACACACTGAGCTGGAATAACTCCGGACAATGGTTCAGTGTTCCAGCTGTGAAAAGCCTATTCTTGATAGGTTCTTACTCAAAGTTTTGGACAGACCGTGGCACATCAAATGTGTCCAGTGCTGCGAATGCAAATGCACTTTGACAGAGAAGTGTTTTTCACGAGAAGGGAAACTGTATTGTAAGAACGACTTCTTTAGGTAAGCAATGGAATTGTGTGTGGATTTGGAAAAAACAGGAAAACTAAATGTTGTCAAATATAGTTTCTATGAGCCCATACAAATAAATACATGTATTTGACAGTCTAGGGAATGAAAATAATGGTTAAATTGTTGAAGGGGCCTGTATTAAAAAATACTGGACCATATTCTGACAGAAAATAGACCGTCTTTGTTTTTACTGTGAGAAAATTGTGTTGTAGTTTATTTATATATTCATTTATGTATTGGTGGTGTTTTTGTATGTTTTCCTCAAGAATAAATATAGCATTATATATAATCAAAATATGAATATATACAAATCTGAATACAAGTGTATTCATAGATGTGTTGGGACATATCCCCCTCTGCAGCATTGCAATGCTAACGGAGCTAACCCTTATTGCACGTGCAATAATGAACTTGTAGTCATGACTAGATTATATTACAAACATATTTAATTGTTTTTCATCCACTTTTACTTTAGATGTCAAATGTCTATATTATTAGATATTGGTCATTCATTTCTAAAGTTGAATATATACAGCAGTTCTTGATTTATGTAATAACTCATGTGCTGTTAGTTGTAAAGAATATACAAAAAACGTGTCAAAGGAAAAGTTCTCATCTCCTGCATCTGATCTGAACCTGCCCCCTGGCCCTGACTCTCTCTCTCTCTCCCTCCATCTCCAACAGGACATTCGGGACCAAGTGTGACGGGTGCGCCCAGGGGATTTTACCCAGTGATCTAGTCCGCAGGGCCAAGAGCAAAGTGTTTCACCTGAACTGTTTCACCTGTGTGATGTGCCACAAACAGCTGTCCACCGGGGAGGAGCTGTACATCCTGGACGAATTCAAGTTTGTTTGTAAGGAGGACTATCAGAACAACAATGGAAAAGACACCATCCTCCTTTCAGGTGATTATGTTAACCAAGCCATTCGAAAATAGGCATTCATTATGTTTTATGATTATATTTTTTTTTTCTGAATCTGGTCATAAATAAAAGGTAAATTAGGTATTATTAGTATTACTATTATTATTAGGAGTAGTAGCAGTAGTAACAATATTTTTCATATTATTATAGTTCCTGTTATAAGGCTTTTATTATTATTATTATTATTATTTGTATTATTATTATTATTTTTAAAATAGCATTATATTATAATGTTTTTTTTCTTTTTTTACACGTTTATTGTCACTATTAGAATTGTTGTTTTTATTATTATGATTATCAGCATATTTCCAATTCTTTATTTCTTTCTCTATTTTTAAGTACACATATAATTGGTGTATGTTGTCATATATTGGCGACATGGTTCCTTAACATTAAAAACGCATTTCTGCTGCTAAATTAATACTTTAGAGAGGTTTTGCTGCTATGATTTAAATTCTCCTGATCCATTTTTTCTAAAGCTCATTATCTTTTCCTCCTGGCAGTCACCACGTGCAGCGACCCGAGCCTGTCTCCGGACTCCCTGGACCCGCAGGACGACGGGAAGGACTCTGAGACGGGACATGTGTCCGATAAAGACAACAACGACAATGACGAAACGAGCGCCGTCGGGAAGCGGCGCGGGCCTCGGACCACCATTAAAGCCAAGCAGCTGGAGATCCTGAAAGCGGCTTTCACGGCCACGCCGAAACCCACCAGACACATCCGGGAGCAGCTGTCCCACGAGACCAATCTCACCATGAGAGTCATCCAGGTAAAAGGCAGAAGGGAGAAAAGAAAGAAGTGTATTTTCTGCACTGTATGAGCTATCTACATCCATTATCGGACACTATTATCGGTCAGTCAGCACTGCAGCATTAAAAGGATACATTGTGCCTTGAGGACTAACACGGCTGAGAATAAAGTCAGGAGTGTAGATTATAATATAATACATAAAAACTCCCTAAAAGCATTTATGGACCGAAAAAGGCTTTTGTTGACACCCTTAGGGAATTATTCCTTGATGCTCTGCTGGTTTTTTGTTTTGTTTTAAGATATGGTTTCCAAACCAATTTGATCCATAATCTTTACTCCCCACGCGCTCCTAAAACCCTTAAAAGCAGGACTCACTTAGCACTCATGTCCATGGACATTTTTAAGAAGCTCCCTTGATGAAATTTCCTCGTGGACTGACGCCTCTGTTAATGCATTTGATCGAAATGCATTAAAAGTACTCATCCCCAGCATTTATTTTTTCGCATGTACATTTATCCTCTCCAACTTCCGACCATCATATTAATATCTGTTATTAACCTCAACCGCATTTTCTACTTTTGTGACAAGAAGTGCAAGGTAATATTGTTGAGATGTACAATTACTTTTTTATCATTTCGATTTTAACTTATCGAAATAATACATTTTTACGCACGAATTGTTGCTCTCATTCATCCACGGCCCTACGAGGCAAATATCAGAAATATAGGGCTATGTCTTGTTGTTTTGTTGTGATAAGTCTGCTCTTCTCTCTAATGTACAGTAAGTCATCCACACAGTGCTCGTTTAACCAAATGTTTTGTCCTAAAAGGTTTGGTTTCAAAACCGGAGGTCCAAGGAGAGGCGGATGAAGCAGCTGAGCTCCCTGGGCGGCCGGAGGCACGTGTTCTTCCGCGGCCAAAGGAGGATGAGGGCGCTGGGAGAGAGGCTGGAAGCAGAGGAGCTTGGACACTTCTCTTATTATGGAGGTAAGCTGCATGATTTCAGCATGACATTTCTTTTAGAATTTGAATTATTTAACATTCAAAAGCTTCATTGTCATATGCAAAATTGTACATGTTGTAGGCATTGAGAATCTTAAATTCTACGCTCCTTCAACAGTAAATAAGGAGGTAAAATAGTGCCCTAGAGGACACATTTCACTTCATGGTGGTTTAACACTAGCATTCAGCCTATTGCCATTTATGTGATGTTCAACCTTCTCCCCTACACAGTAACAGTTGGCTATTGTCAGTGTGTTACTTTTGAAACATAGAATGTTCAGAGTAACTGTTTCCAACTGATTTCTTGTTGAGTTTTCAGTAAATAAATGAAACACATGCTGTGAAGTCAAAGTCGTACATCTCTGATTTCTCACAATTTCTACAGTCCAATAATAAATAATTAAATGTCCTTAGGTTTACATTTACTATCATCTATAGTTTCTGATGATTTTTTTTACAATTGTTTTTATATTTTCTCCTTTAAATATTGATATATTACATGCACTAATCCAGATATTCACATCCTGGTAAATACTATGGCCATGCAGGAATTTGTAGATGCATGTTTTGGGGATGTAGTATTGATAATCTTCTTACTAGAATGTGAATTATTCAAGAATCAAAGGTTTTATTACGCTATTATATGCAAACTAGTTACATCTAGTTGCTGGAAATGAAAATCTTAAATCCTAGTCTTCTCCAACAGTGCAACATCAATATACTTAGAAATAAAAGAAATAAGGAAGTAAAATAGTGCCATTATTAATAATTAAATGTGCATCCTTAGGTTTGTTTTGTCCTTGCAGTGTATTAAAAAAAATCCTTCAAATTCAGATGTATTCCATCCCTAATCCCGATATTCACATGACTTTCAGATTATCCGGGGGAATACTACGGCCAAGGAGGGAATTACGAGTACTACCAGGGCCCCCCGCCGTCCCACGCTCAGACTCCAGCAGACTTGGGCTTCGTGCCCTCCTCCATCCCCTCCGGCACCCCATTAGGAGGGATGGACCACCACCACCCAGGGCACCACTGTCCTGGAGAGGTGCACTGTTTCTCTGACACGGTATCCCATCATCCCGCGGACTCACCCAGCCCGGAGCCCAACATGCCGGGCTCCATGCACAGCATCTCCAGTGAGATGTGTGGCCCCAGCACGCCCTACACCTCTGTGTCCCTCAGTGACAACGGGTACACCAACCAGCTGTCACAGCCCTCCTCAGAAATGAGCGAAGGCACTGTCTGGTAAACGGAACTCAGATTTTTTGAAGGCAAATCGACACTTTTTTTCGTTTAAATGTAATTTATTTATCTGTGTATTTATTTATTTATTTATTTACTTGCTTGCGAGCTCTATTTAACTATTTATAAATCTCTATATTTGTATGTCAGTATTGTTTAGCCAATCGATAGATTGTTTTAATGTGAATTTGACTCATTGGTTCATTCACAGTGCTGGGCCTCATTGATCAAGCAATAAACAAACAGATTTATATGCTGCAGAAAGTGTTTTTTCTTATGTTTACAAAACCTTTTCTGCCACATATTTGACACAGTTGTCCTTAAAATGTTAATGTGAAGGTGCATTGCAGCATTTCTTATACGTACTGACAAACAGCTCCATCCGTGAGTTCTTGTGTATTTCAAGATGTTATCTTTTAATAGCAGAATATGATTGTGATGTTCAATACATTCGACCAAATACCTCTCTCAGGATCATGGAGACATTGTTTGTTTCATGTTTATTTATCATGCATTACCTTTTCTTTGTATTAAGTTATTTCATCGCCAGCACATATTTGCCTTCAAAAGGATATCTTTATAAATCTGAACATTTTATATGTAACAGAAAATGATTTGACTTTAGTCCAACGTTATGGAATAATTCTACTTCTGTAACAGTCAACTGTTTACTTAAAGCTCCAGTATTCAGGACTTTGAATATCAGTATTGTATAAAACCGATGGACACACAGTTCAATGCAAACAAACCAAACTTTTGTAGCCGTTCTATTTATGTGGTCGCTCACTGTGCTAGTTTGTACTATGTCCTCATTGAAAAAAATACAGAACATGTTAATACATTAATGCACAGCAACATCATGCACCTTCAGTTGTGAGACGCAGCGTCCTCTTTTAATTATCTGAGCGTGTTTGCAGTAAAAACAGTCATTTGCAGCTCGGTTAGCCCAACAGCCTCGACTCACACAGGTTTTAATGGATCAAAATGTCAAATTATTCACATTGATGGTCTCATACACTGCCAGCAGCAGCAATGTTTATTTTATGAGACATACTTGATTGTGCCAATTAAGTTCATGAGACCGATGTTTACGACCATTCACTGTATAATAAAACACATATTGACCATTTTTATTTGTTAATCATTTTGGGAGGGGGGTACTTGTTCTTGATTCTTTAAATGTAAAATGAAATAGATTTTTTGAAGGTGCACTTATTCTTTTGGCATGATCTTTTTTATATCAGACCAAAATGATGACTTGTAACTTTTCATGATCATTCATCTATTGAATTGGATTAAATCAGTGGCAGTGCATACAGTGTATACAATTACTTGCTTACTTACGCGTTCAGCGTCATATAGGAGATCTCTTTAGGCAACATGTTTGACCAGTTATTTTGATAATCGATTAACAGTTTAAGTTATTTTGAAAATGACAATGGCATAAAAAGCTGTATTCAACTCAAATATGGAGACTCAGTTTATCATATTAAACTGAATATTTGTAGGTTTGGATTGACAAAGCTAGACATCTTAGCTTAGTGTTTGAGAAACTGGGATGGACATTTTCCAAAATGTGATATGATATTTTATTCTAAATTATTTATCTAGATTAATCTAATTGATGAGGAAAAAGTGTGTTAATTACCGCTCCACTTGAAATTGTTGAATTTAGTAGTCACATTTCTTCTCATTTAAAAAACAGTGCTTGAAACAATTGACTAAAAACTATTCTATTTGCTAAAACATTGAGTATTTCTCTTTGTAGCATATTGCTCAATGGGAAGCCCTGATATAAAGAACTCTGATTTTGCAAACATCTTCACAAGAGGATATGGGATGTAAAAAAATCAAGTAGCTAGCTACTGTTTAAGTGGTTCAGGAATGAGTCCGATAATAAACAAGTTAGCATTTTACCACATTTAGTTTCCTCGTCGCCAAGTCAGCGCTTTCTTTAATGTATTTTTGGCTCGAGCTCTGAAATAAGTTCTGTGGTTCACACAAGCTTCAGTAATGTTCACGTTATTCTCTCCGACATAAATACGTCAGTAAATACCCCAATACTCATGTCTAAAGCTTATTATGTGTCATAAAAACCTTGATTGCTAACAAGTGACTCAATGAGACTAATAAATGTCATCATGCGGATCATTAGTTCACTTTAGCTTAGCGGTGGTGAAGCACACAGATCTCATTTTCTGCTATACTCTGAAATCCAATGAAACAATTGCATAGCATTTTGTCAAGAGAGCCCTTGTGATGCTATTCTGGGTCGGCCTACAAAAATACTTCATCATGGTACTGCTCTGAAGTCACTGACAGTGTTGGTAAATCCACACGATCAATCCACTAATCAATGGACTTCCAAATCCAGGAGCAATGGGTCAGCATTCTTTTTCGGATCACTCTGCCAATGTTAGTGAGCTGTCGACTTTATGAAGTGGCTGCTGTCTGCTGAGTACTGTAGAGGAAGAGAACGCACAACCACACAACAGTTTGTTATATGTATACCTGGCGGCCATATCTTAAAATGAATGTGTTTTTCTCTTGAGTTATTCAAATGTTACGGTAATGTTCCTCAGACGGTAAAAGCAGACAAAAACGTTCTATTATAAGAGACATTTAGGTGTTTCATTGGGAAGTTAACAATGCATTTAATATACTGCACTGAAAAAGCTGAAACATTGACTTCAATTAAATGTATTATGTCAACAGATTTCACATAATTGTATTAGGTTAGTTGAAAGCAATAATATTCAGTTTTAGTAGGTTCAACTTAATTGTATTGCTTTCAACTAAACTAATACTTTATGTGACATTTGTTAACATAATATGTTTCATTAAAAGCCCACATTTCAGTTTTTTCAGTGTGTTCGGGTGAGTTTACTTTATTTGAGAATTGTCCATAAATGATAAGTCACAATGCAGCGTATTCGTTGAAGGAGAGGCCGATGACAGGGTGAATATTTTAGAGTCAGGGAAAGGTGAGAGCAGCACAGAGGAGGACAGGACCAACGCAGAATATCGAACCGCCGAGCAGTGAAGCAGGAGGCTGGTCAGTGGAGCAGTGTGGGGGGGGGGGGGGTCTCTTGGTGAGAGACAAGGAGGGTCACAAACCATAAACTGCAGGGACACATGGATGTGGATTTATTACTCGTCCCTTACATTTCTATAGCGGTGCGTTTATGGGTTCAGTTTGGGTTTGACGTCTCATCGCTTTGTCAGAAAATCAAGACTCTGTCGAAGGTTGTGAGTAATGTTGGACAGACAAGCTGATACCTACTATCATTGAAGCCCATGCACACTACTCTGTGAGCCTTAACAGCCCCTTCATAATAAAATAGAAAAACACATTTAAGGATAAGGATAAGGCATGCAATTTATGATCTGTTTGTTATCAAGACCAAAACCATGAGCTAGTCCATCTTTCTTCCAAACTCCCAAACTTGTTTGTGGTTTCTCCATAGCGCGTTTATTATTATTGAAGACTTCCAAAAAAAAGCTCAAGGTAACCCAAGGTCCAAAGGTAAAACACTTCCTGAGACATTTGGGCATTGTAGCATTTAGCAAACATTACTTAAACTGCATTGATGGAGACTAATCAAGAAATTAGCCTTGCGTTGGTTCCCTGAACATAAAACCAATAGGATTTATTTGATTATTTTTAAAGAGGCCCAATTGTGCTTGTTGGGGTTTTCCTTTTCCAGTGTGTGCGGGCTAAAATCCCCAAATTCCCTCCTTAGCGAGTTTCTTCTATTATCAACCTCACATTTAGTCGGCACTTATTTGTCCACATCATTACGTTCAAGGAGAATTGCAAAGAATACAAATTTGAGTTAAAGGTGATGAGATATAACATATATAATGTTAGCTGAATAATGACATGATGGACATAACTATGCTAATTAAATTGCATTAAGAAATAGTCATTCGCAAAAATAAAAAAATATATTTTCTGTTTTAAATTGTCTCATTTTCTGTTAATGAAAGCCTACCTCTGAAGCCCAGTGTTTAAATGTTTGGAGATAATGCTGTGCTGTTAATCAAACTAATCCCTATTTATCTGAGCAAAATGCCACGATTAAGGGAGAGATTTGCATGTCAAATACGAGGCCAGCAAATCAATTTAAATCTAGCTACCAGTCGTTATGGCGACTGTTGGGGAGACCATGCGCAGTAATCTGTCCTCTGAAGTGGGATTTGTGTATACTGTAGCTTTGTTTTACAGCGGGATTCATTTTTATGCATCCAAAAGTACGTACATATTTTATGTTTATCAAACATTTGTATTGTTGATGAAGTGACTGATCATCCAAAGACTAAAATATTCTGGCTGTAGGGACACTTTGACTACTAAAGACTTACATTTGCCTTGAGGTACACTCTATATTCTTACACAACACAACATTGTTCTTAGTAGTCGGATTAGTTGTTGTTATTTACAAAAGATGCGTACATGTCGAGGTAAATGATTGTGCTTAAGGAGTTTAAACGTACACAATAAAAGCTATGTGACATATTATTTCAGAATCTTGCCTGGTTTTTAAAGTGAGCAATGGGGAGACAAAAGCTCAATTCCAAATGTGTATCCATGGTGGACATTTTATACATATATACACACTTATGATGCATCATAGATTATTTTAAATGCATGAAAATGGGTTGGACTTTACTTACCATGAAAAATAAAACTATATGAGGAAGCATGCATTACTACACATGCATTATTATCCACTTAATTTAAGGCAATGCATGGACTATTATAACATAATATGAGTCCATAGGGCAGTTGATTGTTGTGCATAGGCATTTATAAAATAATATAATATAAACCCCTTCGGTCATCTGTAATCTAGATTATAACCAGACAAGAGAATCCATAGAACACTTATAATAAGTCACATCTTTATTGTTTTTGGACTGTTGATATAGTGCATCACAAATCATTATGGTAATGAGTGAAGTTATGAAGCATTGTAAATGCATTATAATTCATGAATCCTCAAAGTATTAATGTGGTCTTCATAGAAAATGTTACCAATCGCCTTTGTTTGCAGTGTGATGTCAGG